GCTAGTGTTTGTTTTTTGTTGTTTTTTTTTTTTTTTTAAATAAAGAACAAAAAAATGAAAAAGATAAATATAGATAAAGTAGAATTATAATAGAATAGAAAGTGTTAGAGTTAGAGGGTCAAATAAAGGTGAATTTATTTATAAAAAATTTAAAATTATACAGGAACATTATCATCATATTCATTCAAATGCAAAAACAATATACAAGGAAAGGAAAGGAAATAAAGTGGGTATAAAAATATAAAATAAATATTTTGTACAGTTCACAAACCTAGTATCTAAAATTGTCAATGTACAATTTTACTTCAGTCAACAAAACCATAAAGATTCTTATTAGAATGTTTGCATTTATGAATGTGAAATGTATTTGTCCATGTTATTAGTCAATCATGATGTCAAAGCATGTATTTACATTTTACAATTCTAATGCATTCCGTTTTCGTGAAATAATTTAGGCCTGTACTGTTAAAGTTATTAAACAAGTCTGTAGGCTCATACCCACAGAACAACAGCCTTTTATCAGTATCACTTTCATTAAAAAAAAATATCAATGAAATGTGCATTACCCTGCAGTTATGGTATTTTAATCTTCCTGGCCTGTTTTTCTGTACACACTTATGGTCATAAACCTATATAAGGTCCAAAGTTTGTTTGGGATCATTCAGTGTGACGTCATGCGGAACATTTGGCCTGACGTCACCCGGTCTTTATCCTGTCATGGAGGAAATACAGTACATGCTACTTATTTCTGCCTTGGACTGATCAAATCAAGTCTTATGATGAATAAGCTCACCTGGATTTTGAAATGGACTGGAAATATGCAGTGTGACCCGACCGAGGCTTTGCGCACCTGGAAACAGGTAAATGCAATTTCATGATGCATTAGAATTAAAAATTAAGCTTTTACATGTTATTGCAGTGATTACACTGTGTTTAAAACTGGCGACATGTTGTGGAATACTTTTGACCTTATGAGAAAAAAAAGGAAAGAAAAAGAAAAGAAATGCATTTATTCCAGCTGTGCGCCAGAGCACGTTCAGTGTTCCATTGTGTCACATGTTGAGAGTAGTGTACTGACTGAGAGTATAGGTCAAAACTGCTGGATCAGCGCTGAATCCGCATAATGCGTTCAAATGACGCACGGTTTGTGAACTAATTTGATTGAGAAATATTTTTTCCACAAGCCGAGGCACGTTACTATGTATAGATCGTCGATTCTAAACAGGGTCTGTGCTATTTAAATTTACCAAAGATCACTAAAGATAAAGGTTTGTAGTCACGCGCTGACCAATTACGGGTTACGCTACAGGTAAACTTTTTGACTAGTATGCCCACTCTACAGCAACAGCGTGCTAGGGAATAGAATACCATAGGGCTCGGCGGCTAATATTATAAATATAAGTCTATATGAAGCACTGTATTTAAAAAAATGTGTACTCATACATTCTCACATTATTTGATAATGAAGTTTAATTTAGGCTAATTTCACAATGTGTACTATCAATAAATAGTCATAATAATCGCCGAAATCGCTAGCTTCGTGGGGTGATAGAATCCCGCGAACCAATCGGAGCCTGCGTTTCCCATCACGTGATCTTCCCTCAGAAGCGCGCCGGAGTGTGCGCTCTAGTTTTTACGTTGAGACTCGTTGGCTTGTCGAGCTCGCGCTCATGGCGGCTGCAGGCAGGTCGCTCGCGGTCCTGAAGCGCTTCAGGTTATGAACGTGAGAAGAAAGGAAAACGTTAAAAATGTGGCGGGGATAAACTGAACGACCTCCGGTTTTCCATTTTAAATAATGTTTGCAGAGGTAAGTCACGATTTTCTCTTAACTGCTTGGGCAGTGTGCTGCTTTCGCTGTATTTCCCGCTGCTGTTAGCTTAGCCGCGGGTTACCTGAACAGGTAAATAAAAACACACACACACACACGCACGCACGCACGTTGAAGTACACACACGGTTACACACTTTAACGCACACACGAGTTGTGTGCAGGATTACACGTATTAATGCGATGAGATTAGATGTTTCTGAGCGCTGACAGTAAGTCTGCAGCTAGCTCCGCTAACACCAGCTGTCTGTGTGTATTTACATCATATATGTGTGCTTACATGAGTAATGTGTGTGTGACAGCTGTGTGTATAGCGGCCGTGGGTGGAGATGAGGGGCTTTTGTGTGTTTTCTGCGTGCTTCAGCTTGTTTATATTGAGAATTGGTGGAAAATGACAGATGCGTCGTGGCATGTGTGTGAAACTCTTGTTACTGTCATGTGTGTTTGTGTCATTCGAGCCTCTGATCGTGTATTTACACTAACATGTAACGTATGTTGAAGGAAAATGTCAGTTTTGTGTGTATGGGACAATTAAAGTGTTGTAATCCAGGGCACGAAGTTGTTTATATTGACATGCATGATAACAGACACTTGTTTTGTGTGTCTGTCACTACGTTGTTTCAGTATCTGATCATATGTTTATATTAAAAACTTAAACGTTTACAAAAGTAAAAACGCCTGTTTTAGCTGTATATTTTGTAGTTGAGATCATGAATGTGTTTGTATGATGAGAAGCATGGATTTGTTTGTGTTGCACTTCTCTTATGTTATTTTAACCCGTCACTTTGTTTATTGTTTACTGAAATAAACTATATACTAAATGAAAAACAATTTTTGACAAAATGTAAAGAATGTAAGAAACTTCCAACAACTTTGTTGGGCAGAAGAATTATTTTTTTTTTGTCGAAGAAGCCAGAATTCTTTCCATTCCAGTTAGATGAAGATGTTGGTCAAGATAAGCCTGGCTTTATGAGACTAGTCTTGTGTGAATGTTATTTCAGTTTCTGATCATGTAATTTTACAGTGACAAACTTGCTTGGGCTCTACGCAATGTTTAAACCTATGCAAACCTTGTGATGTAGTTGGTTATGATGGCAAGATAACAGTCTGGTTGCATGACACTTAATTTCAGCCATTTCCAGCCTCTAATTATAGTTTTACAGTAAACTTCTGTTTTGGCTGTAAGTGACATTTAAAGGAATAGTTCACCCAAAAAATGAAAATTTGCTGAAAATGTCCTCACCCTCAGGCCATCTGAGACGTAGATGAGTTTGTTTCTTCTTCAGATTTGGAGAAATATAGCATTGCATTACTTGTTCACCAGTGGATGCTCTGCAGTGAATGGGTGCCGTCAGAATGAGAGTCCAAACAGCTGATAAAACCATCACAATAATCCACAAGTAATCCACACCACTCCAGTCCATCAGTTAATGTCTTGAGAAGCCAAAAGCTGCTTGTTTGTAAGAAACAAATCCATAAGCAAGACGTTTTTAATTTCAAACCATTGCTTCTGGCTAAAATATGAGTCCATAATAATGCTTCCTCCAGTGATAAAGTCCATCCCCTGTTGTCTCTCACATCAAAATCCACCAACATATTTGTTTAGAGCTGTTTTGGACTGATGGCACCCATTCACTGCAGAGGATCTATTGGCGAGCATATGATTTAATGATACATTTCTCCAAATCTAAAGAAATAAACTCATCTACATCTTGGATGGCCTGAGGGTGTGGACATTTTCATTTTTGGTGAACTACTCCTTTAAGACCATGCAAATGCTGTTGTTCAGATCATAAGTTTTTTTTTTTCCAGTTGTCACATAGCATATGTGTGGATACCGTATCCTAGTATTTCAGCATCTGATCCAGTAATCATGAACAGGAAAAGTCATAGAAATCAATTAGTGAGAAGTGTGGGAACCTGATGATTTTGTTAATGGGTGTTACCTTTTGTTTTAGCTGTAAGGCATTGTTGAAACTCGTGCAAATGTTGTAGTATAGTTATGATGACAGGCCTGATTAGAGTCTGTTATACTTGTTCTGTGTTGGGGTTATTTCAGGTTAATGATCTAAAGATAAAATAATCTACAGGTTAACCACTTGTTTTGTTATGAAGACAAGTCTGCCAAGTTGGTTGAATGCCATATTTCATCACTGAAAATCATGCATTTGTCAAAAGTTTCAGTGCATTGAAATCTGTGTCTGTATTTCATCACCTGATGACAGGTGGATGAGGCGAATCCTCTTTAGTCACATGACCCGCTGTAAAAGCATCCACACGTGTCACTGCAGGCGTATCAGGTCTTGAGTGCACCTCGAAGTTAATGCATTACTGCAAATGTTTCACTGAACCAAAGCATTTCAGGCCAGCCTGCTGTGATTCATGTGACGTTATATTTGATTTTTTTTGCTGTAAATAAGAACATATACAGTAGATCTATAGCAATGTCATGCACAACAGGGTCTTATCATGTTTGTTTCAGTTGTTTCCTCAGCGCTCCACGAGTAAATATTAAGAAGTATGCATGCTTGCAGGGTACACTGCTGGGTTGTGCGTCAACAGAGGAATGCAAAACTGTAAATGGGCAGCACTTTGACCAAGAGTCAGGCTTGTATCACCACACGAGTAGCTCAGTTCACCTGTGCACTGAATCTGTTCCAGCGTGCTCGATGTGCTCTCTGCATGTGCCTTGTTTATACCCATCAGATTTGCCAGATATATGCTCTAAATCTCATCATCCGCTCATTATCAAAGCTTTGGGAAGCTCCTGGTTATGGGGTGTTAATTAGCTTGTATTATTATCTAATACTGACAGGCTGTTATTTCACAGTTACACCATGTAACCTCTGAAATGAAGGAAGAGTTTTTTTTATATATTTACAAAGCCTTCAAGATATAGATGTTTAAATTTTTCACCAATATAAATTTATTTATTTCATCATATTTAATAATAAATTAACTTTTGTAGAACAAGGTGGAAGAGCACCAGTGTTATTTTAATATCAGTAATATTATAAAATTATTGTTTTATGATTATTTTATATTATATTTTTTTTAAGTTTCAGTATTATTGATAGTGGTAGGACCCTTGCTGTCTATGGAGGGTCAGAGAGCTCGCCGATTTCATCAAAAATATCTTCATTTGTGTTCCGAAGATGAACGGAGGTCTTATGGGTTTGGAACGACATGAGCGTGAGTAATTAATGACAGAATTTTCATTTTTGGGTGAACTAACCCTTTAAACTAAGAAAATGAGAAATGGTCTCAAAATTAGAAATTGTATATTTTATTTTATTTTATTTTATTTCAGTTAAATGTTCATTTATTTTAAGTAACAAAAATGTTTTTTGAGGGTTTGTTTTGTTATAGTTAGATATATTTAGATATAAGACTTTTTTTTTTGTTTCTGTCAGGCAAAAAGTGAAATGCTAAAAAAAGAAGAGTAATAATACTCCATGAGCAAACACAACTTGTTTTCTTAGAGACTAAAAAGTGTTACATTTTTAAGAGCATTATTTTATTTCACTTTTAAGAAAAAGTGTCAGTAAGTATAATGCAGCTATAATGTGGTCTATAGAGAGCTTGTACTCTTTTCTCTGTAAGTGCTAAAGCTTATATCTGGATTATATACACAGCGTTTGATCTCAGGACAGCGGCACTCGAGCCTTGGGTATTTACACCACTCTTAAAATAGACCTCGGTGACCAGCCTGAATTAATGGCGAGCCTGATGAGTTTTGTGCAAGATCACGCTTGAAACCTTCGGGGACTGTTTGGCACTTACAATGATCATTTAAATAGCTCTTCTCAGCGCAAATTCACCGTCTAACTTTATCAGGTCAGGCTGTGTATAAAGGCCTCGTCTCAGCTGAAGATATTCAGGCCGACAGCAGTAGCTCGCACTGCGTTATGTTAATGAATTTTGCAGTCTAAGAAGGAGGAGCTTGTTTGCAGCAGGTGATTGAATGGCAGTCGGTAGATAATAATCTTAACCTGGCTAAAGTCTTCGCTGACCCGTCCTGTGAGGACGCAGCAGGACAGAATGAGATCATCGCTGTTAAGAGACCTATTAACTCTACAGCTTTACACCTTTCCATTGACAAATGGATGATTCATTGGTTTATCTATTAGATTGTATTAACGTCCCCTCGTGTCTGTCCTCGAAAGCGCACAGCTCGTCTGTCTTCTTACTGGATGGAGATTGTCACCTTATGTGATGTGTTCTGATGTGAAAACATGGTAAAGGTAAACAGCTGTTGGATTATTGTGTGTTTGACGACAAAGAGAGCAGCTTTAGTTTTCTAGTCCCCTGTGGGCCGTAATCTGCTTTTATCTTCTTTAGAGGTTAGTTTGGTGGTGATAAGGGCCGAAACATGTTTTTCAGAGCACACGGAAATCTTCCCACAGACAAGGACATTTTTCAATCAGTTAGATTGTATGTGCATTTGAGCAAGTCTCTTTATCTAATAAACACGATGTACACACTGCTAATATAATATTACGTTTATTAACTAACTAGTGCATAAATAGACTTTTTTATGACTAAAGGAGACTGTTTGCTTCAAAACATCTTTTTCCTTCCCTAAATTTAGTTGGATTGATGTAGTGGCTAACTTTACCTTTGGTTTTTGATAGGGATGCACCGATACCACTTTTTTCAGAACGAGTCCAATACCGATACTTTCATTTTTGGTACTCGCCGATACCGATACCTGTATTTTCACAGCATTTGTAAATTTTTTTTAAATATTGGGTACAGAAACAAAATAATAGTAGTAATAATAATAATATGAATCATGTTAGTTGGCTTCATTTAGCACTTTCTCAGTTATGTTCCTCTCTTTATTTCTCAGATGAACGTTTGATCATATTTTTGGCTAATGTTTATTTAACACACTTCAGCAGAGGAGGACACACTCCAGGTCCGACCCTTCAGATCCGTGTGTGTGTGTGTGATCGGCTCAGGAGAAGGAAGGGAAGGACACAGATTGGGTCACTGAGTTTCCTGTCCTGGCAAAAACAGGAAACCTGGCCACTGGATGCATTCACAGTCACACTCGCTTCTCTCATCTGTCTCGTCTCTAGTTTATTTCCTCCCTTCAGTTCTTTTGGAATCCTTTACCTGTCGGCTGAAAGCTCCTGCATTGTGCTTTCAGTTCTTCTGGGTCTCTGTTATGATGATGATGATCTGGGGCAAAATGCAGCTTGGTGAAATGGCCTGTAATTTCACTACTTTAATTGCAATGCAAGAACGATAGTCTGACCCTAACTGATTATATCAGACATGAGTGAGAATCAAATCAAAGAGAGGAAATCTCAAGGACTTTTACCTGTGTGATCATTAAAGCAGTGGTTGATGCTGCTGAAATGATGATGCTAACAGCAAAGCAATGCCTTTGTCTTAGAGATAAAACATTATTTTAATGAAATAGTGCAAAATATATTTTCATGGCTGTAAATTTCTTAAATTCACACACTATTTTGAACATTTTCGACCCTGATGATGTGCAGTTTCAATTGTTCAGTTGCTGCAATCATGTCATGGTTTACTTCTGTATGCAACCCTCTACGCACACCTTGGCAATATAATCGCCATTGGCTAGTACATTTTTTTGTTTACTCGCCAGACTGATATACTACTCTCGTTTGAATCCGTGGCAAATCCTTTAAATATGAAAACGTACTTACGTGAGTCAGAACTGCCGGCATTTTAGTTTAACGTTACTCTCCCAGGATCAGTAAACAGTCCTCCATAAAATGTGCTGCACACATCTGAATATTTGGGTTGAAGTGTTCTGGAACAGTGTTGTAAATACAACTTTACCACTGATTTCTAGTCGTGTCCTCTTTTGGAAGGCCAAACAAAGTAGTTTCGCTTTCACAACGAAACACACAGTGTCTCCACAACATGCAGCGGCGGCAACAGACAGAATAAAAGTTACGCCGCCTTTCTTTTGTGTGAACATTTGGGTGGCGTTATGCAAATCTTCCCACATAGTGAGGTAGATATGTGGGGGCGTGTTAGAACGAGCCGTTTCAGGTAGGTGTGGCTGACTCTTAACTTTTATAAAGAATATCTCTTTGGATTTGAGACTTTAGTCTTTGCAACTTTACAGATCTTCTTTATGCACCAAGAGCTTGTAACACTCCAAAGAGAAACGAAAAATTGAAATCGCATCATATGACCCCTTTAAAGGAATAGTTCACCCAAAAATGAAAACTTGCTGATAATACACTTAAACTCACCTACATCTTGGATGGCCTGAGGGTGTTTCTTCATCAGCACAGATTTGGAGAAATGTAGCATTACATTGCTTACTCACCAATGGATCATCTGCAGTGAATGGGTGCCAAACAACTGATAAAAACATGACAAGTAACCCACTCCATTAATTAAAATTACAGTTGTTCAAGTAGTGTCTTGTAAAAAGAAAAGTTGTGTTTTTATGAAACAAAGTTTATAACTCCAGTTTATTCCAGCTAAAATATGAGTCCATAATATTGCTTTTTAACAAGTCATCTCGTCTGAATCAGGAGAGAAATATGCACAAATCAAGCACCATCTATCTACAAGTGAACACAGACCAAAATGCTTATAAACAAAATGTCAGTGGATTTTGATATGAGCGGACAACAGGGGATGGACTTTTTGCATTATAGAAAGCATTATTATGGATTAGGGACCCGTATTTTGCCCAGAAGCGAATGTTTAAAGTTAAAACGCCTTATTGTTTCATACAAACACACAGCTTTTTACTTCACAAAATATTAACTCAACCCTCTACGCACACCTTGGCAATATAATCGCCATTGGCTAGTAAATTTTTTTGTTTACTCGCCAGACTGATATACTATTTTACACACACACACACACACGCGCGCGCGCGTTTATTTAGCTATCTAAATGGGGACATTACATGGACTTCTATTGTTTTTATATACAGATAGTTATACACTTTTTAACCTAAACCCACCACTAACCCTACCTCTCACAGAAAACTTTCTGCATTTTTACAATTTCAAAAGTTTAAAAAAAACTTTGTTTTACAGTTTTACAAATGAGGACATCCACAAATTGAGGTTTTTGCCGATTTTGTCAGGTTTTGCTCACTTTTGGGTACAAATTTGTCTCCAAAATATGGTTAAGTACACACACACACATGATTCCACCCAATCAGCTTATCTTTGTAAAATGGAACAGCTTCTTAAATAACTGAATGTGCACTCTTAACTTCAGCCAATCAAGCATTATATTATGATATTATGATAATTAAGCACTATTTAATGATAGAACTAGTGATTAGAACTAAAACTTGGTAACCATGAATGAATGCATATTTGTCATTTTAACTGAACTTAGGACTGGTGGTGGTGTTTAAGATATTGTTGGTCATAGGTAATAGTAATTATTTTTAAAAGATACTACTACTACTACTACTACTACTACTACTACTACTACTACTACTATTATTATCTGCTGGGTTCATGAATATTAATCACGTTGTCAGCGTTCGCTCGAACTGATTTGCTGAAATCAAAACAGGGACGGTAATAGATGAGCGCCAACCCATGAGAGTTGTTTGCGCATTAGCTCCGCCCACTGCCGAGAAACCGGCATATCTGCTGCTTGTTCTTAAAAGCTGAATAATTCTAAATGAACTGTTATTTTGACAGGAAAATACAACAAAGAATATGGTTTACATGTAGCGCGTCGATTCAGCGTGGTATGCAAGACTCTCGCTCTCTCTCTTTGCATGTGTGAGAAACACAGCGCTATCAGTAAAGCGACGGTGAGTCGTGCGCCTTCACACTAGTTTACGGTACGTCAAATACAGGTGCGCTGCGTGCTACATACTGCGCATCCATTGAGTACATGACATGATCCATTGAGCGCATCCAAATAGTACAGATCGCTTGACGGAGAGCGAAACTCTCAAGCGCTCAGTCAGCGTGTTTATCGAGTGAAAATCTGTGTTGAATGCCTCTCACACACATACTGGCGTGTAAAATCTAAGAATGTATTAGCCAATGGCTAATGTTAGACATTATTTAGTCGCCCAGAGTAAGATTTAGTCGCATATGCGAGTGATTTACTCGCAATGTAGAGGGTTGGTATGTTCAATTACACTACATTCACGCTGCTTTTATTCCGATCAGTTAACGCTCTTTAACATGAGCACTCACAGTCATCCAAAGATAAGAAATAATGTCATTAACTCTCTCCCTCTCTCTCTGTGCTTGTGTGTTTCAGGCCAGTCTGTCCATCTGGGGATGGTGGGGTCTGGGAGTCGTCCTCTTCCTCATCACATTTGGACCCTTTGCCATCTTTTATCTGGCCTTCTACATCCTCTGTTTCATTGGCGGGTAAGTGGATCACAAGTACGTCTCATTTCAGGCAGCATCAGTGCACTTTAAGCTCTGTAAGACCTGTTGATGTTCCAGTATGATGATGCAGTCTCTCTCCTCCCTTTCTAGGGGTTTTGTAGTGCTTCTTTTATTTGGAAAGATAAACTCAGAGAAACACCTGGAAAGGTGTGAACACTCCTACCTGCCATCAACACAGACGGCCATACTGAAGGTGTGCAAACTCTTGCATGTCTGTCTTCTCTTTTATTTATTTTTATTTATTATATTTACCACAACATACACAAGCATTTGTAATGCATTTAATCAATAAAGTATGACATTGATTTTTTTTTTTAAACATTTGAATTGAATTGAATGATTAAGTTAAATATTTGAATAAGTTAAAATAATTTAATAATTAATAATAATGTATTAACATTTAAAAAAAATTTTGGAATAAAAAATACTAATACTAAAAAAATATGACATTCAGCATTTTTTCTTAAAACATTTGAATCATATTTTGTCATTAAATTATTTAAAATATATATATATATATTTGTAGAAATTCTGTGTTATCTGTTTTAGTTGTTCTGAATTTTGTTCTGATTTAATACAAAGTTATTATCAAAAATGGTGGTAATCAAATAAAGGCATAAACCATTAACAATTTAATTAATCTTTCAAAATGTAATCAAACAAAAATTTCGCTTACAATTTTTTGGGGGGAAATTTTGGACCAAATTTTTGCTGCGCAACAGATATATATATTTTTTATATTAAAATATGCCTAGAAAAAAAAACAGTCAACCACCCCTTTAAGGAATTAAATTGCTGATTTTTATTTCATGATGACTTTGGATTGTGCTTGTGTTCAACTTCAGAATTTAAATTCTTTGTGATTGTTCGTCAGGTTTTGGAGGAGATGAAATCAGAGTCCAAACCCATAAAGATCGATCGGCGTCTGACAGGATCCAGTATCATAGATGAGCCACTGCAGCAGGTACCGTCAACAAAACCAAACGGACAGATGAAAGTGCACATTCATGCGTTTGAGGAACCTGTGGTTTCTCCACTGATGAATTTCTCTCAGACTGTCGAGCTTTCGCTTCACAAATGCTGTTTGTTTCCGCCCATGACATGAGTCAGACACTGGATCAGCTCGTTTAAGAGTTTAGACTGAACTGCTGTTTTCATAAAGCAGATGAGCACATGACACTCGTTTTCAGTCAGTGGTCTCACATGCTGTACTGAATCGGCTTTAAGTCTGCTTACAATGCATATATTCTGCTGGGGTCACTTTTTTTAATGCTACACTTTAGCTTTTATTTGCATTTATTGTTAGTCAGAGAGGTTTCTTGCACCATAAAACCATCATATTGATGTTGCACAACCATTTTACACCCTCTCTTTGACATTTTGAAAACAGGTTGTTTTACTGTTGTACCTTAGATATGTAAATGACGTACTAGTGTCACTCAAACTGTTGTTCAAGTTGCAGAATATTGAATAGGTGTTATGATGCAAATATATGTTTGTTTTATGTTAATGGCTCCATTCCAATACCTAGTGAGCTGCCTACACTGATAGCTACCTATGCTGTCATTATGCACACGTACCACTACATTTACGAGAGGCCTGTGTCTAAATGAATGATTTGTTAATCTAAGAAGCATAAAAATGCATCATACACAAAATAATATTAGATAAAATGGTTTATTTTTATTAGATGGAGATGTATTTAATGAAGTATATTTATAACAATTTTTGTTTATTTTATTTTATTGATTATTTTATTTAAGTCAAGTCAAGTTAATTGGTATAGTGCTTTTAGAGCTGGGCGATAATATAGTTTACATCTAGGGTTGGGTGTCGTTTGGGTTTTTTTCGATACCGGGGCCAAATCGATACTTTTAAAATGGTTCCGGTGCCTGAACCGATACTTATTAAAAAAAAATAATAATTCCCCAAAAAATGATGGATTGGCCATGAGCACTATAAACACATGATGTCTGTTTCATTCATACTGGATGCCAGAGGGCGCCCTCGCACAGAAAATCCACGGTGATGATGCTTCTTACGTCCGTTTCGGAGAACCTGAGGACAAATATTTCAATCGATCACTCAGGCATGGCACCGAAATCTGCGTTCTGATTTGGTTCTAGTACATACCGGTTATATAGGTACCGGTGCCATATTGGTACTGGGTTTCGGTACCCAACCCTATTTACATCTTGCATTAAACTTAATAATTTAATTAAATAATTTAATTAATAAATGTTTCATGTAATTTACGTTTTAATTAAAGGGGTCATATGATGCGATTTCAAGTTTTCCTTTCTCTTTGGAGTGTTACAAGCTGTTTGTGAATAG